AGGATCCGGGCTAGGTCGCCATGCCAACTTTTTAGTGTTTGAGGGACACCTGGCCAGGCCGGGGAGGGTGCAGAGGAGGAAGAGTGCAGGGGGACGGTGCTCTCCAAGCCTCCGCGGCCCCTCGCCTGCAGCCTTTCTGTGCCCAGGCTGGCGGCTTCGGCGAAGCTAAGGGCTGTTCTGTCCCTCAGCAATGGAACAGACAACTGGGGTCTGCGACCCATGGAGAAGCAAGTGTTAGGTGCGGAACTTCCGTAAGGTCTAGAAACCTAGCGTGCAGGTACATGCATGCACATGCACAAACCTAAGCTACAAAAATTCACCTACAAGCCCTTCTGCCCCATAAAGAGACAGATATTTGGAGTCAGATTAAGTAAGACCTCTGTGCTTTCACAGCCCTCAGCAGTCACCCTCTCAGAAGCGACCTTTCGCAGACACTATTTCCTTTACTGTACCTTAAGCCGCCAGGGAGCGAGCTGCACTGAAAATTGGAGTCCTTTGAGGATGCAGACCTAGCCTACAGTCCTTGCCCCACCTCCAGCCGTGCGGAGAAGCTGGGGGCGCCCCTCCCCCCCAGCACTGGGGTGAACTGTGAGGTTACTACTAATTTGTCCTCCAGGCCGGTCAAGTTTCTTCCTACTCCCTGATCCCCACAATGCCTCATGCCTATCCTGGACAATAAGGTCCTCTCACATATAAAAGAAAGCCAGGAATTTCCCCAAACAACTTAGAAAATTCTTAAGAAAAAATTTCCAATTCTATTACAACTTGTTATAAACACATAGATGTTTCTAAATTTAAAGGCTTGGCTTTTTAAAACGCTGAGAAGTTTCCAAATATATAGGGGAAAAATGTCCATTTCTTACAAAGCTTAGATTGAAAATGGCCGTTAATATTACAATTAAAATCTAATGTGAACTGTTTTGAGATACTGTAAACCTTGTATGGACTATTTAATTATCTTTTAACTACCTTACTGGTGAGACGTCTTTGAAATTAAAATAAATGGTTGGAGCCGTTAGAGAAGATACAACACATGAATGCGTTTTCTCCCTTTCATTGATGTGTTCAACATCATACCAATGGTGTATAGCAACGTGGTGTTTATGCAAATTAGAGCTGTGAAAGGTTTCGTGAAGCCGCGAACAAATATCATTCCTCATGTGTTCTGTGCAAAGAAAACCAAATTTTAATAAGTACTGAAACTACAATAGGTGAAATCTTTACAAAAAAATAAATGAGATTTTGAAAGAAGATAGAACAGGCAATCTGTAACTATTGTTCTACTCAGAAGAATAAATCCAAATGTTTTATTTTATTACTACAGTCAACATAATTTTTAGCTATCTTGATAGTCTTGTGTGTTAGAACATTATTCTATAT